AAATGCTGATTTCTCTACCCCACTATCTGGTTTCAATCAGGACATTGCATTGTATCAACGGTCTCAAGTTTGTGTAAACATGCCACCATTTGTTCTCTATATTGTCAATTAAACAACCAGCCTTAATGCTGTGCAATGGAGAGGATAGGGTAAGACATCCTGGTTGGGAGGGGAGAGAGAGGAAGCAGGAGGGAGGAGGGGAGAATCCATAGGAGAGTTCTTGGAACTATATGGAGAGATGAACCAGATCTAAGATATGACTAAAAGCAAGTATAATGGTTGAAATCTGAATGGTAGGAAACTATGCAGGCTTGGAGTTTAGGATGGAGTAACTATTGCTCAGAATTGTGCTCTAGGTTAACTAAATAAATCCCACTCTCTGTGTGGTGATTTGGGCATACAGCTTGTTTAGGAATAACCACAGATCAACTAAAAATATATCAATAATAAATATTAGTAACCCACAACAGATTTAGAAACCTGGAATAGAAAATGCAAGCTTGATATCAGGAGAATGGATCTAAGAATATGCCTGTTGAGGCTTTCCTCTTTTTTTTTTTAACTTTTATTAATTACACTTTATTCATTTTGTATCCCCCCATAAGCCCCTCCCTTCTCCCCTCCCGGTCCCACCCTCCCCCCTTACTGCATGCATGCCCCTCCCCAAGTCCACTGATAGGGGAGGTCCTCCTCTCTTATTGGAGCAATTTTAGGCAAGATTCTCCCCGAATGCTCAGCTATTGCTGTAGCAGCATGGAGAAGGCTCCCTTCTTCTGACATTACAGCAACAGGATTAACTAATATTAGACAACAGGCTGATGAACCTTGTAAATTTTTTTATTTATTCATTATTTATTACAATTTATTCACTTTGTATCCCGGCTCCCTCTTCTTCTTACTGTCCCACCTTCCCTCTCTACCCATATGCTTCTCCCCTGCTATCTGACCCTAGCCTATCAGGTCTCATCAGGACTGGCTGCATTGTCTTCCTCTGTGGCCTGACAAGACTGCATAGCCTCCCTCTGAGGGAGGTGATCAAAATGCTGGCCACTGAGTCCATGTCAGAGACAATCCCTGCTCCCTTACTAGGGAACCCATTTGGAGACTGAGCTGCCCATGGGCTTTTTCTGAGCAAGGGGTCTAGGTTCTTTACCATTCCTTTAAATCCTCAAGAATGTGAAAGATTCATCTTTAGTCATTTCTCTACAAATTTAATTCAGCCATATTATAGATATCAATGGAAAGTCTTCCCTCAAGGTAGGAAAAATAACCATACCCTTTCTCAAAAATCTGTAGAGTTGGTTTTACAAAAAATTTGAGATAAACACTCATGGGTTAATTTGCTTCATTACATGGGTGATGTCCTTACTTCCCACAAGGTCAGAGCCTGTCTACAGGAAGTAGTCAGTTTTCTGCCTATGGACTTATGGTGGCTCTAGAAAAGGTACAGGTACAACTGCCATTTCATTATTTGGATCATGTTTTAAGAAAACAAACAATGATGCAACAATTTTAGAATTAAGGCTAAATAAGATCACAAGATTACACAACCTTGGAATTTGGTTATTATATCTACTCCTTATACTCATAATTCCAGATGCTATAGTACTTAGCCTTCGTGTGTAGTCAAGTACATATTCATATATCCATTCATATGTATAAATGGCTTTTTAAACCTATACTAGAACAGGGATGTTTAAATTGGTTCCATTGATTATGAGGGTCTCATATATATGTGTGTGTGTATACATCCAATCTGAATTTTATTGGTATATTTTTTATTATTCAATATTATGTCATTTTGATATAATTTTTATTATGTACTAGAATGCTTTCTAGATATTGTCTTAGGATAGCTTATATATAATATTTCTCTAATTTCTTTTTAAATTATTATAGTCCTTGATATTTATACATTGATATTTTTGTATATATATAATTTATTCTGGTCACGCAAAATGTCTCCCCTTTTTGTGTTCCTCCAAAGCACACCCACACATTCTTTTCAAGAGGTTACCATCCTCTTATCTTTTCTTTGGTTTTTGCTTTTGACCAAATGAGTTTGATCACAGCTTCCCACATGAGCACTGAGAAAATCTTTCCACTGGAAAATGGACAATGCACCAGTAGCTACACCACTGAAGACAGTGACTCTGAATAGTGTCTCTTTATCTCCAATTCATAAATCAGCTCATAGTAAAAAGCTTTCTTTCACAATAATTGGCCCTTTTAATTACTTGATTGATCTCTATTTTCCCACCTTGTTCTGGAAACATAACTGAGCACTGTAATTGGTCACTTGGCACCAGAATAATACATAGAGAATTTTTCTTTAGCATCAGTTCCCAAAGGGATGTTCATGCTTATGTGTGCTCCCAGAACCACTGTCACTGGAAGAGAGTTTCTATGAGAAGACTGTTTTATTCTGAGGTATTGCAGGAGATTTCGAATTTTAGTTTGAATACAGATGAAGTGATAATCTGTGTCAATGCAGGTAAGTATTGGGTTTAATTAGCCAAAGGAATTTATTACCATAAATTATGATACAGGCAAAGGATAAAATGATGCTTAATGTAAGCAACCCACAGTAGAATTCTACTTCCTAAAATACAATGAGGTTTTCTATCTGTGATTATACGTAATGGAAAGCTGCTTCAGGTATCTCTCATTTAGGCAGTTCTCTAGTAAACTGTCCTCCCACTCTTTCAAAATTAGCTTCGCTTCTTTGGGATAGCCAAGCTTATGGCAGTATTCACTTTAGGGTGTATGGTTAGGTCTTAGCGCAGAACATCTGACAGTGCATGGGTTAACAGAGCACTCATGTTAATAATTATAGTGTAGAAATAAGAATACAGCCATTTAAAATATTCTATTTTTTGTTGTTGGAGAATTAAAAAAAAAGTATTATCTGTTGCAGGATATTTAATCCCATTATGAACCCCGAGATTGTGAACTGTAAAAACCTGTTTATCGTTTGGTGTGGTCCTATCTCATATTCGGTCCAAAACTTTCTGCTTATTGAAAACTGGTAATTATGATGTAGCTCAGCCCTAGCAGACACCTTTAATCCAAGAGCTTTTCATTCTTTATTTTGGCGTGCAATGTGGGGCAACACATGTAAAAGTAACCTTTATTCCCCTATTTCACTTGTAGTCTAGGCGGCCTATAGCCTCTGGCTGCTAACCTAGGCCTAGTTCTGTAAGCTACTAACCTCCATACACTCTAACCTAGACCTAGAATGTTTTCTGCCTGTGAGAGTTTCTGCTCAACAAGCTCACTCTTGTTCTTTCTGTGCTCATAGCTAGCTGATTCAACCCAGCTGATTTGGCTCAAAATTCTCTCCTAGTTAACTTACTCAGTCTGGATTTTTTATTGCTATCTAAATTGCTCTGCTTGGCCTCAAACTAATCCCAGAAATCTGTTCTAATCTCCTGGCTCCTTTTTATTATTTGGCTCTTTCTATCTTCACTTTCGTCTAGTTTGCTCTCCCATTCAACCTCTCTCTATAAAACCCACCTGGTAAAACTGCCTTCTCCCTCTCTGCATTGCCCCTTAAGTAGCTTCCCTCTCCTCTCCTCATGAGAATTGGGCATTTTCTATTCTATCAAATTTTTCTGATTTGTCACTTTTTCTGCTACTCAACTGAATGTCACTTTCAAACATGGGTGTTTCCTTCTACAAACTAACTTTACCTTCATTGTTTGGGATGAAAGGCATGAACCATCAAGGTTTGGCCTGAGCTTTTGCTGTATAGCAGGATGACCTTAAACTCAGGTCTGCTTGCTTTTGTATTAAAGAGGTGTTTGTATTCCAGCTAGATCACACCGACCTAAAATGTCTTTGGTTGTGATCTCTTGTCAGAGCAGCCATGTTCTGAATTAAAATTCCTCTTTTTTACACAGACTATGAATGACAGAACAAGGCAGACACAGGTGAAGACATAATGAGCTAGACAATGAGAAGGAATCAGAAGATTAGATTAGAGTTAGTTTGAGGCCAAGCAGAGCAATTCAGAGGCCGAGAGAAAAGCCAAATTGAATAAGTCTGCTGGGCAAGGAGTTTGAGCCAGAACAGCTGAATTGAACTAGCTAGTCCAGAGCTAGTAAGAACAAGATAGGACTATTGCTAAAAGATGGATGGCCAGGATCAATTGTGAAGAGTCATCATATGAATGGCTAAGTGGATCTTCATAAGAACTGTTAAGTTTGTCAGACTGATAGTTGTTTCTACTGTAAAAGTTAAACTATGTAAAATTTTTAGCTTAAACAGAAAGAGGGATGATGTAGAGGAATTTTAAGATTAGAAAAAAAATTGCTAGAATTAGTTTAAGGGCTAGTAGAACAATTTAGAGACCAAGAAAAAGGCCAGACTGAATTAGTTAGCTGGGAGAGAAATTTGAACCAAAACAGCAGAGTTGAACCAGCAAGTTCACTTATTAAACAGTAAGCCTCAGGGTCAGAAAACCTTCAAGGCTTAGGTTAGAGTGTATGGAGGCTTGTAGCTTACAGGCTAGGTCTAGGTTAGCGGCCAGAGGCAGTAAACCTTCTGGATAACAATCGAAACAGATGAATAGAAATTCCTTTTACAGCATCCTTTCCAGATATCACCACCAATTAACTAATTTCTGAAGTCATTTATGGAATACTTTCAATTGTTCCTGAAACCTAACTATAAATTTCTTATGATATTCAGATTAAAGAATAAAATATTTTAAATAAAAAGAAGAGACATAAATTCATAAAGTAAGAGACATTAGAATGTAAGTGAGATGACTATTACGTATTTAGTAACCGAACTCTTTGGGAAACATGTGTCTAATTTGTCATTCATAATAATGACACCCAATTCAGTGTACATACATCTCATAATGAATAACATTTGTGGACCACAGTGTTTTCACTTTCCAGTTTGTAGAATAACAAATAATAGAGAGAATATTTAGAGACATTTCAACCATAATTTAATCTTTTCACAGAAAGTATTATAAAGTACTCAAAGTCATGGATGAAGAAAATATTACTGAAGTGACAGAGTTCATTCTTTTAGGATTCACTGGAGACATGGTGCTACAGCAGATACTTTTTTGCATCTTCCTTCTCATTTATGTTGTTAGTCTTCTAGGGAATATCACCCTGATTTCTCTCATCTGTACTGACTCCCAGCTCCACACACCCATGTACTTCTTCATTGGAAACCTGTCATTCCTGGATCTCTGGTATTCTTCTGTCTATGCCCCCAAAATCCTCATAACATGCATCTCTGAGGACAAGAGCATCTCCTTTGCTGGATGCTTGGCTCAGTTCTTCTTCTCTGCTGGGCTGGCCTACAGCGAGTGTTATCTACTGGCTGCTATGGCTTATGACCGCTACGTGGCCATCGCCAACCCCTTACTTTACTTTCAGGCTATGTCCCCAAGATTATGTGCTGGCCTTGTTGCAGCTTCCTACCTTGGTGGCTTCGTAAACTCCACCATTATCACCAGTGAGACGTTTACCCTGAGCTTCTGTGGGGACAATACCATTGACGACTTCTTCTGTGACCTGCCTCCTCTCGTGAAGTTGGCATGTGATGTGAAGGAGAGCTACCAGGCAGTGCTGTATTTCATACTGGCCTCTAACGTCGTCACTCCTACTGCGCTTATTCTGGCATCCTACCTCTTCATCATTGCAGCCATCTTGAAGATCCGCTCTACCCAGGGCCGCCTCAAGGCCTTCTCCACTTGTGGTTCTCACCTGACAGCTGTCACCTTGTACTATGGTTCAATTCTCTTCATTTACTCCCGGCCAAGCACTAGTTACACCCTGGAGAGGGACAAAGTGGTGTCAGTGTTCTACACTGTAGTGATTCCTATGTTAAACCCCTTGATCTACAGTTTGAGAAACAAAGATGTCAAAGATGCCTTGAGGAAAATTTTAGATACAGCCAAGTTTTCATGAAGGAATAAAGTAAGCTAAGCAATTTCAAAATGTCTATCTTCATGCAACTCTCTTAGCTGGTCCTATCAGAAATAAGTATGCTAAGGATATAAAAGTAATCTTTTAATATGCAACATGTCTGTGTTTTCTATATGTTAAATTGTATTTCTTGAAACAATAATATATTATTAACTCATTGGTAAAATGAAAACAATTCCCATTCTCACACATTAGCCTATCTTTTTAAACATTGTTTTCATTTATTTCAATAATTACAAATGTATGGAATGAATTGCTATCATATTCAACATTTTAATGGCAAGTATGTATGCTTCTCATGATCTATTTATTTATTTATTTACTTGTTATTTTATTCATTTATTAATTCATGTATATGGTGTGTGTGTGTGTGTGTGTGTGTGTGTTGTTATTATCATGGAGGGAGTGGTTGGATATGATGTCACCCTGTAAGTAAAGATCTATTGGTAATGGATCATTGGTGAGGGATGGAGAGTTATTTTCTTTAAGGGTATGGACACTGCTAATGTTACCCACTGGCTAGCTATATCACCAATAGTATATAGACAGTACTAATTGGGAGTATGTGATCAAAGTACAATGTATGACATTCTCAAAGAATTCATAAAAATACCTTTGAAATATCACACCAAGAAAAGCAGTGTTATGTAAACTCCTGCATTTACTTTTAGGCCCAAGGTCATCAGATATGGTGAGGAATTAAATCAGGCTATATTTGGAGGGGCCACAGTGTAGGCATCCCCAGCAAAGGGCCATTGGGGCTCACAGCTTTGGCCAGCTTCTGCTGAGGTAACTACAGAGGTAGTTTGGCCGAGAGTATGTGACCTGATGTTGGACAGTTTGCCCAGAGACAGACAACCAATGGCAGGCTTGGAGATGGTGTGGAAGAACCTTATTAGTCGCTCAAAGCTATATAACATGCTCTCTCTTCCGGGAATAAAGAGTCCCTCAGATCCCTCAGATTGCATTCACCAGCTCTGGTGTGATGATTCTGTGCCTCTCACCCCCTCGGCCTGAACCCCCTGTCCTCACCCATGGGCTGGACCCTTGGGAGGAGGACCAACTCCACAGCATAATTGAAGCTATGGCAATTTCATTGAAAGCATTCAGACATTTTATAACTTTATCAGAAACAGAATACAATAGCAATTGCCAGGATCAATACATTGTTGCCAGGATACAATGATGTTTGCAAGTTATATAGGGTTTGCAAGATTAATGTCTAAGACCAATTATCCTGACCAAGCTTTCATGCTTCCTTGGCTAATAAGGGAACATACTAAGTGGCCTGCATGCTTCACTGCCTGAGGGAGTGCCAATGATCATCCTGAGTGAGGTTTCCTAGAGGCAGAAAGACACACATGGAATATACTCACTTATAGTGGATATTTAACATATAATATAGGATAAATATACTAAAATCTGTACACCTAAAGAAGCTAAGCAAGAAGGAAGACTCTGGGTAAGATGATCAATCCTCATTCAGAAAGGCAAACAGGACAGACATTGGAAAAGGGAGAAAACAAAACAGGGAACAGGACAGGAGCCGACCACAGAGGGCCTCTGAAAGACTCTACCCTGCAGGGCATCAAAGCAGATGCTGAGACTCATAGCCAAACTTTGGGCAGAGTACAAGGAATATTATGAAAGAAGGAGACAGAGGGACCTGGAGGGGACAGGAGCTCCACAAGGAGAGAAACAGATCCAACAATCTGGGCAAAGGGGTATTTTCTGAGACTGATACTCCAACCAAGGACCATTCATGGAGATAACCTAGAACCCCTGCACAGATGTAGCACATGGCAGTTCAGTGTCCAAGTGGGTGCCCTAGTAAAATGGAACAGGGACTGTCTCTGACATGAACTCAGTGGCTGGCTCTCTGATCACCTCCCCCTGTGGTGTATGTGTGGGAGCAGCCTTACCAGGCCACAGTGTAAGACAATCTAGCCAGTCCTGATGAGATCTGATAGGCTAGGGTAAGAAGGAATGGGAGGAGGACCTCCCTATCAGTGGACTTGGGGGAGGGCCATGGGATGAGATGAGAGAGGGAGGGAGAATAGAAATGGAAGGGGATGAGGCTACAGCTGGGATACAAAGTGAACAAACTGTAATTAATAAAAAAAGATTTTAAAAACAAAAAAATTAAAAAAAATCATTTTCCTGTCTATTTCTGAATAGCTTGTAAGGACATAACACATTTTCAGGGATTTTGTTTGCTTTTAAATCTGCCACGTCATTCTTCTTGTTGAGGGAGATTTAGATTTGTGAATTGTGAACGATATTTTATAACCAAACAGAACACCTCTACCTTCATGTATTTTTCCAGTACCTGGTGAAATCCTTTCTGTATTTAAGTTCCATTAAAAAATGAGGCTCTTTGGCTTCTCCACCCCCCAAGGGAGGAGCAGTCCTGTTAGGCCACAGAGGAGAGCTTTGCAGCCAGTCCTGAAGATACCTGATAAAACAGGATCAGATGAATGGGGAGGAGGTCCCCCCTATCAGTGGACTTGGAAAGGGGCACGATGGAGAGGAGGGAGGGAGGGAGGGACTGGGAGGGAATGAGGGATCTGGACAGGGCTGGGATACAGAGTTAATAAAATGTAACTGATAAGAAAAAAATAAAATTAAAAAAAGAGTTATATTTACCTCTTTGTAGATTAAATTACTAACTAAAAAGTAAAAAAAAAAAAAAAAAATGAGTGCATTGATCACCTCCCCCTGAGGGGGGAGCAGCCTTACCAGGCCAAGGCAGAGGACAATGCAGCCACTTTTGATGAGAACTGATAGACTAAGATCAAAAAGAAGAGGAGAACCTCCCCTATCAGTGGACTTGGGGAGTGGCATGCATGCAGAAAGGGGAGGGAGGGGGGATCGGCAGGGGAAGAGGGAGGGGCTTATGGGGGGATACAAAATGAATAAAGTGTAATTAATAAAAAATTAAAAAAAAAGAAAAAATGAGTGCGTCTATCAACATGTTATTTACTTTTTTTGTTTTGTCTTGGAACTGCTGTGGGTGTTATCTTAGGATGGTGTGAGGAACCCCTTTTGGGGCAATTTCTCTGCAACGTCTTTAAACAAATTTGAAATATGCATTCAGATCAATTAAATGACACCGTAAATTTAAAACTGGTATATTTAAACAGAAAGGTTTAATTAAGAAAGAAATGACTCAATATTTGGTTCATGGCTGTTTTAGGTATAAGCATATTCCATACCCTTTGCATGAATGGAAGTGAAGGGTCACAAGTGAGAGGTTTCTTGCTCAGAGATGAAAGATTTTATAGTGTTTGAGAGTTTTATAGTTAAACTCAATGCATATTAAAATCAAATCTCACTCTAGTTTCGCATCTTTAATTCCTCTCCTACATACTACCGACCATACCACTTTTTCTACATCATGTACTCTGTATTTGTGTTTTAATGTTACTGAATTCACTTCATGCTGCTTGCTACGTGTTTTAGTGTACCTGCCACTGAAGCACAGTAGCCTTTCAATGACTACATCACTGAAGATAACACATTCTTTCTCTACAAGAAGCTATCAATTGCTAACAGTGTGACAGCTAGAGCTGAGACAAGATCACATCCTCTGTCCATGCTGAAGCTTCGATGGACTGATCTTGTACAGGATTTGTGCTACAATTGGTAAAATGAGCATATTTTAAGTTCATTAAAATTTAAAAATATAACCAAGATCTACAGACTCCACATCAGGCATGTTAGCGCAACATTTCTCATGCTTTCTTTCTCCATGACATTTGTTGTCTCATATGGATGTGTTACCCTCTCTCTTTCTTTAAAATAAAATTTGACATTCCATATTCATATTCATTGCTACTGAAGAATCTTTGACAGTATCTGGACAGAATACATTAAAGAGTATTTTCTATTTGTCATTATTCCATAGGATGTTTCCTTCACAGCTCCATAATAGGCCCTATGCAAGGACAATAATTGGGTCATTATTAGAAAGAAGAATAAAGTAAATTCCAGTCCTCTGAGAAAGTATCAGATACTTTCCTATTTCATGCTCAATTCATGGTCTATACTTTAAAAACAGTTTTAATGTTAACAGGAAGCTCTGGAAAATACTAGACTAAAGTTCAATCAGTAGACAAAATTAAATATGAAATGAATATCAGCAAAGTTCATTATAAACATACCTGAAGTTATCACAGTATAACTCATTACTTATTACACTAAAACAAAAAAAAACATTTACACTTTTATATAAAAAACATCTACATTAGGGAAAAGTTTTGGTGCAATTTCAAATAATGGAAATTTTATTTTTGATACTCAGTTTCTCAACCTTGCCATTAAGCAGTTTATTATCACTTAGTTCTAAGTGTGTGTCAATTTAGACTTCAGAATGGGATAACTTGAAGAGTTTTCTCAGAGCTTCCTTCACATCTTTATTCCGCAGACTGTAGATCATGGGGTTCAACATGGGGAATAACACAGTATAAAAGGTAGACACCATTTTGTCCCTCTCCAGGGAGTAGCTGGAACTTGGGCGAGAGTAGATGTAGAGGATAGAGCCATAGTACAAGGTCACAGAGATGAGGTGTGAGGAACAGGTGGAGAAGGCCTTGAGGCGACCCTGGGTGGATCGGATCCTCAGGATGGCAGCAATGATGAAGAGATAGGAGGCCAGGATGAGCAGGGTGGGAGTAATGACATTGGAGGCTAAGAGGAAGTACAGCACAGACTGGTAACTCTCCCTGACCTCACATGCCAACTTCACCAGAGGTGGAACGTCACAGAAAAAGTCATCGATGACATTGTCACCACAAAAATCCAACGTGAATGTGTTGCTGGTTAATATTATTGCATTGACAAAGCCTCCTGTATAGGAATATAGAACTAAGCAGATGCACAACCTCCTTGACATAGCTTGAGCATAAAGCAGGGGGTTAGAGATGGCTACATAGCGATCATAAGCCATGGCAGCCAGTAGGTAGCACTCACTATAGGCCAAT